GCAGCTCCACTAACTTGGAACAGTCTGCAAACATGTTTAAAACTGAGCACTTTGGTTCCCCTGCATCATTTTAAAACTCGGCTGGGTGACATGCTGTTTGATACTCATGGTACCTGTCACTGTAAATAGAGTTTGTAAACTGTACCCTGTACATTATGTTGTATGTCATCCTTATTGTTGTTCTGTTGTTTGTATGTTACATGTGTAACTAATGTCCTGCAGGTCACCCTTGAAAAATAGATCTTTTGATCTCAAGGGGCTTTCACCTGGTTAAATAAAGACTACAAACAAACAAACTACAGCGTTTCCAGCTTTTCCAGCGGTCTAGTGTGAACGGACACGTTAATGAATCGAATGCGTGTGAACGGAAGACTTTTTTGCGTTTGCGTATACGTTTTACCGTATGTGGGGCCGGGGTCTAAGCCAAACTATATCCGGTCACAGAGATCTGCTATTTTAAAGTAAAGTCAACACATATCGACCCTAAATATAGTCTATATTAAGAACGAGAAAAGTCTTAACATATATATCCTTTTTTGTAAACATATGACAAATGTGTGAGGGTGATGACGTCAGAGCATCGTCCTATGTGCCAGGGCTTAGCCCCGGACAGCCCCAGCCCAATATAACCCCTGGGTATTTGTGAGGGAGCTCCTATATGACATTACCCCGCTGAAGCTCACCAAAGTTTAATATATTTCATAGTTCAAAGTTTTGTCAATTGTTTTGTTTATTGGTCAAATACTGGTTTCTAATGGTTTCTGAGGAGTTTTACTGGAATGAAAGAGCACAGAGTACAGAAGCAACAAAGCAGCATACTGCATTAAACCTGACCTTCACAGAGAGGTTGAAGTTCATGTGGAGAGGAGGCTTCAGTAGTCTGTCTGCACTCTGTTTAGTTGTGCTATCTTACAATCAATATAGTAAATGTGAGGTAAAGTGTGTCGCCAATGTAACCGGTTAGAACTCGAAGTTGCGATGAGGTCTTAAAATGTATGGAAAGGGTCTTAAAAAAGGCTCTTAAAAGGTATTACATTTGACTTCAGGATTCCTGCATATACCCTGAAGATGGAGTGCCTAGCGTCATGTGAGTGGTAACTTACAGAGTACTTTCAATTAGCATTTCACAAAATGGCAACTGCCGTGTTTGGCAACATGCGGTCTAAACAAGATGGCAACTGATTTTCCAACTTCTAACCTGAAGAACAAAGGGATTTGAAAATACACCAAGTGGCTTTCACAGGGGAGTTTAAATACAACACAAAACAACACTGTAGTTTAAAATAACATTTATATGTAGTTTACAATGAAAATGGGACATTGAACCCCTTACGTTATAAGCCTTGAACCGAATTACATAATATTTGACTTTGAGTCTTATGTTAATCTCTTGCTATTTAAACACGCTATAATGGGACAAAGTGGGACGCTATCCAAACACAATCAGAAGAATATCGTCTATCTAACGAACGAATGTTGCATTTCCCGTCGTAATCCACACGCAATGTCTGGTTGAAAACAGAACAGAATAAACACTGATAAAACCTTGAACCTTAATCAGGCCTTTTTACTAAAAAGGACTTTTTTAAAAACAGCCTTAAACCGTTTCTAGACAAACACTCACTTCAATTTCCTCAGCCCTAAACTGTGGCTATGTCTCCTTTATTCTAACAGCCTTAAACTGTTTAATACACTTACGTTATAGGCCTTGAAACTATGAACGTAATAGGAGACATCTTAATATTTAAAATCAGCCTTGAACCGACAACTCATAGTCTCCAATTCTAACAGCCTTGAACTGTTTAAAACACTTACTTTATAGGCCTTGAAACTATGAACGTAATAGGAGACACCTTAATATTTCCGGCATAAAAAACACACACAAATTAATAGCATGCAGGTTTAATAGAAGAAGAAATGAAAATGTGACGGCACGAGTTATAGGATGCCTATGTCTATACATTTAGGTTGTTTTAACATTAAATGCACAGCTATTTCCAGGATCCGCTGGCCGCCGTCAAACACACAAACCTAACATGTCCTGCATAAACTATTGAAGAATTCGAACAGGCTTCTCCTTACCGAGTGGATTTGAGCTCTTTGTGTGTCAAACGGATGCCAGCGTTTCCGGCGAACAGCTGGCTGTAGTCTCTTCTCCCCGGTGTAACGAGATCACGTCTTAAGGTGTCACCAATTATTAGCTTTGTTCGTTATTCTCGCGTCCAAGAGAGAAGCTTTAAAAGTAAGGAGACCAATGGAGTCTCTGAGAAGGTTCAAATGGTACTTTAATTAAAATGGCGCGGTAATGTTACAAGCAGAGATATGGTTTGGTGAGAAAGACAGCTGTGTTCTCAGACTCTCGAGAGTAAAGGAAAAGGCAGAGAAAACACACATCCACCGTTTAAATATCCTCCTATAGCTCCTCCTTGTATTGCCGGTTGGTGCTGTAGGGGGACCTCCCTCCTCCGATCTTCAATGTTCGTTGTTGCTTAAACTGACGGTCTGTTTAAACTAAATTATGCCATAAAACATTGATTTTAATTTCTAACACAACATGTCCCTACTTCAGTAGTTGTGTGCTATAATGTATTTACAAAGTGTGAAGAGGAGGCAACTTTAGAATAGGGAACCTGTTCAGGTCAATTAGAGTCAAACTACTAGCTTATTGGTTATGAACAAGACTTCACTTTAAAATAGGGAACATGTTCTTGGATAGAAATACCTAATAAGAGTCAAACTACTAGCTTATTAGTCATGAACAAGACTTCACTTTAAAATAGGGCACATGTTCAAGGCTGGATTATTGTAACTCCTTATTATCAGGGTGTACCAACAAGTCAGTTAAGTCGCTTCAGCTGATTCAAAATGCTGCAGCTCGTGTACTAACCAGAGTTAGGAAAAGGGACCACATTACTCCTGTTCTGGCTGCCTTACACTGACTCCCTATAGAACACAGGATAGAATTTAAAATTCTTCTTCTCGCCTACAAAGCCCTTAATGGGCAGGCGCCATCTTACCTTAAATAACTCATTATACCCTACTGTCCAACTAGGGCATTGTGTTCCAAGAATGCAGGACTGTTGGTTGTTCCTAGAGTCCCTAAAAGTACAATGGGAGCCAGAGCCTTTTCTTATCAAGCCCCACATTTGTGGAATCAGCTTCCAGTTTGTGTTCGGGCGGCAGACACCCTATCCGATTTTAAGAGTGCGCTTAAGATCTTCCTTTTTGATAAAGCTTATAGTTAGGGCTGATTAGATTCAGCCCCTAGTTTTGCTGCTTTAGGCTTAGTTTGTCGGGGGACATCTTACTTCTTCCTTCAATCTGTCTATACCTGTGTACTCTCATGTTCTGAATATTACATTGCTGAATAACCCAGCTTCCCCAGATTTCTTGTTGGTGTCTATATACACCGGGATCCGGAGTCATGGCTGATTGTGTTTCTGTGGTCCTGAGTCCTGGATCGCGAGCCCTGGATCTTGAGTCGTGGCTGTGCCTGTTGCTGTGGTCCTGGATCATGAGTCCTGGATGGATATCGTCGTGGATTCATCCTCTTATTATAGACACATGCATTTCCAAACATTTGGTCTACCTATGTTGCAAATGTAATATATTTTCAATTTACACACGGCATCTATTGCACATCTGTCCGTCCTGGGAGAGGGATCCCTCCTCTGTTGCTCTCCCTGAGGTTTCTCCCATTTTTCCCTTTAAACTGTGGGTTTTCTCCGGAAGTTTTTCCTTGTACGATGTGAGGGTCTAAGGACAGAGGGTGTCATATTGCCATATTGATATTCTGTACAAACTGTGAAGTCCACTGAGACAAATGTAACATTTGTGATATTGGGATATATAAATAAACATTGATTGATTGATTGATTAGATAGAAATACCTAATTAGAGTCAAACTACTAGCTTATTGGTTATGAACAAGACTTCACTTTGAAATAGGGAACATGTTCTTAGATATAAATACCTAATTTTGAGTTATTTAGACACAATTAACACTTATAGTTTCATGTCTTGTTACATAAGAATAGATCATATTTGTTAAGTGTTATTATGGGAGAATTACTATTCTTGTGGTACTACTGCCTTATTAAGCCCATATTGAGCTGCGCATACTGAGACCAAAACTCATGCACAACAACTTCCTTACTTGCAATCAATAAGCACTAATTAGAGGGTTATTGAAGAAAAACTGTCAACTAATGGCTTATTACTTGTAGAATATGGTCATGCAGAATAAGGCATTAATAAGTGTTTTATAATGACTAATAAAGAGCCAATATACTGCTAATATGCATGTTAATTAACAACTAGTTGATGGTAAATTTGTGTACCTTAATATAAAGTGTTACCAAAAATACAAACTCTTTTGGCTCCTTCCTGTCTTTCTAGTGGGTCTTGCTTGGCTCTATACTGGCTATCTTCTAGCTCTATTCAGGTTTTTTGAGTTTTTTTCTAGCTCTCTCCCTGATAATTATCAGAACCTGAAGGCTACGGACTATCTTCTGGTTCTCCTCTGGATCCATCCACTATCTCTTGTCTCTGTACAGTGAATTACACTTGTGTTACTGGAGCAGGCAAAGCATACAACAGATACTTTCAGCATTATCGGAACACGAAGTAGAAGCTTGGATGAAACGCAGCAGACATCTAAACAATGAACACACGCAACTTAGAAGAAATAAAGTTGGGCTTTATGCGTTCTAATATTGCAATGCAAACCCATGATGTAATGACAGTAATTAAGAATAATGTAGTCATTAAATGCTCATTTCAGTAGATTTAATCAAACAAAACATAAACATATTGGACATGGCCTCAAGACTGTAACCTCTTTACATTCTGTTGAAATAGTCAATTACTAGCCATATCTTACACATTGCTGTTTTGAATCATTAATATGTGGATGACAGTTGAACTGGAGGATGTAACATGTATGCTATCTGATGGAAAGAAGACGTATCGCTCTGTTGCCGTTGTTTGGACAACAAAAACAGAGTGAAGCTCTCATTTAATAAACAATCTTTGAGTACAGACCCCGTCTTGCAGAGAGCACACAACAGCACGTTTTTGGTCTAGCATCACTTTACAAAACATTTGCAGTAAGACACTAAGACTAGCTGGTCATTTGTAAGGTCAGTCCACCTTAAATGAGCAGTGGGTGATCAGCAGGTGAAAGGCAGGACACGGGAACTTGGTCCTGAGGAGATGTAACGATTATTAAACAAGAAATAGTCTAGGCAAGGGGTCAAATAAATGAACATTTGTGATCATCAGGTCATCAGGATACAAAATAGGAAAATGTATTCCCTTACAGTTACAGAAGGAAAAACAATCAGATAACAGGTACATTTATGTAAAACAGGGCTCATTAACAGGATAGCAATGATACAAAACATTTAAAAATGAAGAAAAAAACATCAAATCATCCTATATCTCTATATGGAAACTTAGAGCCCTCAATCCAAAATAAAATGGTTCATCAACAGTCAGTGGTTAACGTATAAATCAGAAAATCAGTATGACAAAAACATTAAACATATTGTCGACTTATGTTGATAAAGATGGAGTTCATTTAAGTCTTATATGAATGTTGTGCAACAATGTTAATCCAGATTTTTCTCATGTGTGAACTGTCATAAGACTTATTCATTGTCCTCTCCATCAGCTTCTGTTTCCTTGTGTTCAGCTGAGCTGCTGATTGGAGGCTCTGCCTCTCCGTTATCCTCAGTTGGAATTTCATTAAGCTGTGAGGATTGACGACCAACACACTTGTGTCTTTTGAAATCACTACGCCATTTAAATCTTTTGTCACAAACATTGCAGCTGTATAGTTCCTCTCCTGTGTGGATGCTCATGTGTCTCTTTAAACTTCCACTCCGTGAAAAAGCTTTCTTACAGACTGAGCAGCTGTGTGGTTTCTCTCCTGTGTGGATTCTCATGTGTGCCTTTAAACTTCCACTCCGTGAAAAACCTTTCTCACAAACTGAGCAGTTGTGTGGTTTCTCTCCTGTGTGGATTCTCATGTGTTTTTTTAAACTTCCATTCAATGCAAAATATTTGGTACAAACTGAGCAGCTAAAGGGTTTCTCTCCTGTGTGGATTCTCATGTGTTCCTTTAAATGTATATTCTGTGAAAAAGCTTTCTTACAGACTGAGCAATTGAATGGTTTCTCTCCTGTGTGGATTCTCATGTGTCGCTGAACATTTTTTCTATATGTAAAAGATTTCGTACACACAGAGCAGCCAAATTGTTTCTTTACAGCACTACGTCTTGAATCACTGACAGATTCTTGTCTATTTTTCAGTGAGTTTGAGCCTGTTGCAGGTTCTCTGGTCTCCTTCCAATCAGCACTGTCTTCAGTGTCAGGTTCAGAAGAGTCTCCAGTGTCAGGTTCAGAAGAGTCTCCAGTGTCAGGTTCAGAAGAGTCTCCAGTGTCAGGTTCAGTAGAGTCTCCAGTGTCGTCCTCAGTCTTTGGTTGTAAACTGCTCTCTAGATCTGAGTTCCTGGTTGGTTCTGGTCCTTGACAGTCATCTCCATCAGCTTCTGTTTTCATGTGTTCAGTTTGTCTTTGATGAGGCTGTGAGGACTGAGGTTTCTCTTCATCATCTTCACTCTTCACAGGGTCAGGAGTGAACGTGGGCTTGGTGATATCAGCCTCCTCCAGCTCCTGAAGCTGCTCTCCCTCCTGACTGATCCTGAGTTCCTCCTGTTCCTGCTTAATGTGTGGGGGGGGCTCTGGGTCCTCCTGGTCCAGACTGGTGCTCCACTCCTGCTGGTCAGGGAGAACCTCTTCTTTAACCACCACCAGCAGCTGGACGTCTGCAGGTAACAGGAAACACACAGTAAGAAACAACTGTTAAGTGTTAGCATTTACAAATCGATTCACCATTACAATGGGAGACATTTTGAAGCCCTAATTAATGCCTTTGTTTTTATACTTTCATATTATCTTTCTTAGTCCCACCTATTGTGTGTTTGTGTTGGCTCAATCCACCTTATGTAGCCCAACCCCTTTCCACTTCCAGTTAAAAAAGAAAAAGCCTTTTTTCTTCTGGTTTAGCACTAGCTGCAATGTAAACAATGAATATCTATTTGGGATCGTTCACAGATACACTACGTCTACAGTATAGAATGCAAATACTCTGTTACAAATTAAAATCCTGCATTCAAACCTTATTCAAGTAAAAGTATGCAAGTATCATCAGAACATTTTACGGCACCTTCTTATGTCATAGTAATGATGGTGCAGTAAAATGTTCCCTGTCAGTGTTTCATTTATGATGTTTCTTGATTATTTTGTATGTTGCATTTTACTGCTGTACATGTTCAAAGTTGCTCTTGTATAAATGATTATAGATGAGGGAACCTGCTAAATATTAAAATATGTGTGTTTTTTATATACAGTACCAATCAGAAGTTTGGACACACCTTCTCATTCAATGGTTTTTGTTTATTTTACATTTGTTTCTACTTTGTAGAATACTGAAGACATCAAAACTATAAAAGAAAACATATGGAATTATCTAGGTAATAAAAAAAAGTGCTAAAAAAAAAATCAAGAATATGATTTTTATTTTAGATTCTTCAAAGTAGACCCCTTTTGCCTTGATGACAGCTTTGCTCACTCTTGGCTTCTCTCAGTCAGCTTCATGAGGTAGACACCTGGAATGGTTTTCAATTAACACGTGAGCCTTGTCAAGAGTCCATTTGTGGAATGACTTGCCTTCTTAATGTGTTTGAGACCATCAGTTGTGTTGTGCAGAGGTAGGGTTAGTGCACAGTGGAGAGCCCTATTTGTCTGCTGTTGTAATCCCTATTATGGCAAGAACGACTGAGCTCAAAGAGAAACGACCGTCCATCATCACGTTAAGAAAGTAAGGCCAGTCGATCCGGAAAATGTCAAGAACCGTGAATGTATGTGTAGTCGTAAAAAACATTGAACGCTATGATGAGACTGGCTCTCATTAGGCCCCCCCCCCCCCGGGAAAGGAAGAGCAAGAGTTACCTCTGCTAATAAATAGCAGGATAAATACATCAGAGTTACCAGCCTCAGAAACCGCTAATTAAAGCACCTCAGATTAGAGCCAACATAAATGATCACAGAGCTCAAGGAGCAGACCATCTTAACATGCACTGTTCAGAGGGGACTGCGTGAATCAGGCCTTCATGGTCCAATTGTTGCAAAGATCCACCACTGAGGATGAACAACAAGAAGAAGAGAATTGTTTGGGCCAAGAAACTCAAGGATTGGACATTAGACAGTGGAAATCTCTACTTTGGTCTGATGGGTCCAAATTAGTGTTGTCACGATACCAAAATGTTGGTTTCGATACCGATTAGGGCTGCACGATTTTGGGGGAAAATGTAATTGCGGAAAAAAAATTGTAAAAAAAAAAAAGAAATGTTAAAAAAAATCTCAGGCTTTGCGATTTGATAATCGCATCATTTCAAATCACGATTTCGATTTAAAATCGATTAATCCTTCAACCCTAATACCAAGTCAAGAATGTAATTAAATGTAATTATTGTGCTTTATATTTCACACCAGAATCATAACCACATTGGTAAGTTAGCTAAAAAGATAGCCATATTAGACAGTTATCATTGCCATTAATTGCCTCGGCAAACTACGAAAACGTTAATTTGTCACAAAATAAATTACACTGGTTTGACTTAGATTTGAGGGCATGCGATTGAGCATGATGTAATTATGTTATCTATCACATTCGCTAACCTGTCTGGATGCCGGTTGGCGAGTTGCTTAGCGAAGTTTGATGTGTTGGCTCCCTTGGTTTGCAGGGATCTAAAACATTTCTTACAGACAGGCCTCGTGGTGTCCGTAGGCTTGCCCTCACTGTCAGAGATATAGCTAAAATACTTCCAAATGTCGCTTCTGGCGTCTTTTTTGTCAACAAGCCGAGGCGCAGCGGCAGTTGCACTCCCACTTGCAGCCATGCTTCTCGCTTTCTCACATGCTCTGGCAGCTAGCCCGTGCACGAGAGAGGGGAGGCACTTAGAGCGTGCTTGAGAGGGGAGGGACTGCAGGCACGGCTGCAGTACAGGGAGTGGAAGCAGAGCGCTGAACACACACAGCTCTTATTAAAACGGCGCTTTCTCACCGGAGTACTTTTCTCCGTCATTCTTAAAGTACTGATACTAATGAACAAGTCATTTTTCGTAAATAGACGGAGGGTTTCAGCCATATTTCAATATTTTTACGACGACCTCAGTCTTACAGTAGCGTGTCCTAGCAACAGCTAAAGCCTGGTACTGCATGCTATTTAGCTTAAGCTAGTTAGCAGCAAAATGCCTCCGTTCTCTACAGATGACTTCCACAAACTTCTAAAGAAGATGGCCGTGTTGGAAATGAAAATGCAACGGTTGGAAGTTAACGTGGAAGTGAATGGACTATGCTGGAATGCCACCACTTTACCAGTGTTGCAAAAGAGTGGAGAGGCATGCTCACTCACAGCAAGTTAGCAGCTACAAGGATTCCAAGGAACTGGAGGGCTATGTACCGGGTAATACATCTACAAGTGGTAGTCCTCCCTGTAACTCTCTGTGTGCAAAGAGTAAATCATTTCCATGGGATTTGGGAGGACGAATAACAGGCAGAGCCCAGCGCCCTGAAATCTGTGATGCGACCGGCTGGCCTGAATTGTTATCACCCAGGAATATCGCCTCTTCAACGCCTATTCATACTAGGTAACAGCCGTGGACAGCTGCCAAAGGGAGAACTACAAACAATCCTCCTAAACCACCAAGTGCGCCAATCCAGAACAGATACGCTCCGCTGACTCAGAACCGGAGATCTCTTTCTGAAGACCTGGATAACCTGTCCTCTTCACACAGCAGGGTAAGGACCAATAGCTACTCCTAAAGTAAAAGGCTAGAGGTAAAGCTAACGACTTGGCCTGAAACTCTGATTGTGGGTGACTCTGCTGTAAGAGATGTAAGAAGTCTGTGTAGTAAGAACAAAACCAAAGTACTTCCTTTTCCCAAGGAAATGGTCTCTGACTTGGCTTATAAGACCTTGCATATTGGTGCTGAACAACCGACTGTGAACAATGTGGTACTGCATATTGGAACGAATGAAGTGCTGAAAAAAGACTTTAAATGTTTGTTGGAAACTGTCAGCTCTCTAAATGCAGAGGTGTTCATCAGTGGCCCTCTACCGCCAGTCAGAAGAGGAGTGGAGAGATTCAGCAGATTGTTTGCACTGAACACGTGGCTTTCAACTGTCTGTACTGACCATTCTGTCCATTTTATTGACAATTTTAACTTTTTCTGGGACCGAAGACATCTTTTAAGGCAAATGGAGTTTGCCTGAACAAGTCAGGAGTGAAATTGTTTATCTCTAACATATTCAACTGCCTGCGTCATCAATCTGTTCCCTCTGCCAAGGACAAGAGGAATCAAAACAAGAGAAAGACACAACACATCGCGCAGAAAACCTTGAAGAAGTATCACTGCACCCGCCTGAGGAATGTCTTGATTATGGGAAACCGATGAGACAAATGGAGGAGTCTCCACTGCCCTTCACCCCCCCCCCCCCCTATCACCTTTGAAGATACTCTTCATTCACCCCCCAGCTCTCTCTACTCTCCGTTCACCCTTTCACCCTCCCTCCTGGAGTTTGATGACCACATGAAAGAGATACAGAGGGTTGGCACCAAGTCCTTCCTGGAGTTCAATGACCGCATGAAGGCGATACACAGGGTTGGCAGCATGTCCTTTACCCCCGCCCCTCAACGGACGCCCAGCGCAATCATCGAAGCAGAGAAGCGCACCATCTCCCCGTCTTCATCACCGTGCCTACATCAACCACCTCCCCCCCTTCAAGACAGCCTCTGCGGTCTCTGAAGCCTGATAAGAATGTGTGTGTACAAAACACAGCAAACTAACTGATATGTGCTGGGTCCAGGCTCCAGGGCGTATGGCACTCTCAACTCTTTCCAGGACAAGCTGGGGCCCTGCCTGCCAGTAGCTTTGCCGATATCTGTGTTGATAGGTAATAGATTGAGAGCGGTGAATCAGCTTCAGGAAGCGCTCAAACGTTTGTGTGAGTTTAACAAATTTAGCAGTGATTCCATGTCAGCTACAGCTTGTCACAAAAAATCTGACTGTTAGTGTATTTAACGAACGTAAACTAGCTTTATTAAATGGCAGGTCTTTGCCAGGAAAAACATTTTTAATCAATGATTTTATCACCGAGCACAATCTAGATTTTATGTTTTTAACAGAAACTTGGATTGAACAAAATAACAGTGCAGCTGTTCTTATCGAATCAACACCTCCCAACTTTAGTTTTATGAGTCAGGAAAGAATGCATAAGAAAGGGGGTGGAGTTGCTATTTTGTTCAATGATTCCCTTCAATGCAGGAAGACATCTTATGGGCTAACCCTAACCTGGTGCGGGCATGGCAGGGGCAGAAACACAAAAGTCACACACACTTTTGTTAGACCTGAACACCCTGTATGTATTGTAAATGTGTAGGGGGGTACAGTGGGGGTACAGTGGGTGGTCATTGAAAATATGTTCTGATATATGATCTTCACAGAAAATGAGCCAAGGCCATTGAGTGTGGGTTTGAAAATAATTTATCATATCATTTTTCTTTAGCTAAATAATGAAAACGGGTCCCACAGACCCGAATACGATACAAGGGTTAACTGAAAATACTAGGGAAATGTTTACTCAGAATTTTTCTTCCACACAGGGTGCACTTGCCCCTGCTAACACCTCAGTAAATTAGTAGTTCATTTTAAAAAGGTCCCATGTCATGGCCATTTCTACTGATCATAATTCCATTGTTAAGGTATACTAAAAAAGATTTATACTGTGCAATTTTACAAACTCACATTGGTTTCTCATACAGCATCTCTGTAAAGCATGTGTATTCACCGGTATTCACTCTCTGTCCTAAACGGCTTGTTGGAGCTCCTGCTCCCTGTGAGCCCACTGTGCTCTGATTGGTCAGGATGTTGCGAGGCTCGTTGCGAGGCTTCCGGGTCACCGATACAGCAAGAACAAGCAAAACTCATCCTGAGCACACACACAAACACTCACAGCCAAAGTAAAAACAATAAGTGTGGCTTGATATTGAGTAAGAAAAAGGCTGATAACCAGGGGTTTACATCACTTTTTTGCCCTTGTTCTCAAAGGAGCACCTGGAGATGTTGCTTGGTGCTCATCCTTAAAATGAAATAAACCGTAACTTTTGAGGGGGTCTTGACTTTATTTGCCAGACACACGGCACTGAAAACACATGCAGAGGTGAACACAGAACACACATGCAGAGGTGAACACAAGACAACATTAGCACGAACAGTAATCCTACAAGACAAGCTGTCATCACTACCCTCCTGACTGTTCTCCTCACTGTCTTCCTCTCTGTCAGACATGGTAGCTGATGATGTAGGCCTACTTCTTTCTCTATGGTTGAGTCTGCGATTAGCTGCTTGCATCCACAAGTCAACAGCTGGGTTTGGGTCGAAAGTCTCTGTTGTCATCTTAGACAAGTGGATGTAATCAAATAAGTATGTGAACATAACCAATAACCTAACATAGCCAATAACAAATGAATGTAACTTATTTTATTTGTGTTGTTCATTCATATCTTATTTTACCTTAATATTTATTTATGCATTTTTTTTTATCTCTCCAGTTTTAAAGGATATTTTTGGTTACTGTCCTATAGTATACATTGGAATGATTTAAAACCTGTTTATCCCAATAATTATAAAGGAGTGCCTTGGAAATATGTGTTTACATAAATTGTGACCAAACCGATTGAACTTAGACTAAGAGTCCTTTACCTCACTGAACTGTAGTTATCAGTCTGACTGGAGAGGACTCTCCCTCCACATTATTGTAGAAACATCTTCTTCTTATATCCGTTAGAGCAGCTAGCACCAGATTCTAATAACAACAGCGCCGGTACCGGGCGGTGCGCCCTTCTCTCTCTCCCTCACTCGCATTTTGTCTGTGAGCTGCGGGCGCCAGATAAGCCAACATCCCCCATTTTCATCACTTACAGTGCCCATCATACAGGGCAAATGAAACATGTAACCGGGGTGAAAAGGGTGTTACTTTACTTTATTATGAATATTGTTACATCAAGGCCGAAAATTAGGATGAGCGCCAACGGTCAAAAATGTTTTTTTCCCTCCCAGAACTGCCAGCGCAGCGCCTCCACAGATCTGGCGCCTTAGGCGAACATCTAGCGAGTGCGACGGGCCGACCCTGAGTTCATATGCAACTCGCAAATATCTCTCTCTCTCCCTCTCTCTCTCAATGTTGGTACGCAAATGCGCCTTTTTTCAAATGACCCGGTGCTCTTTTTTTGGCAGAGGTGCGCATGCGCACCTGCGCACCAGTTATGTGCAGCCCTGCTTATAACGATGTGAGCATTGGTCTGCGGAGAGCATTTATCCGCGATCCCAGCTTAGCAGCCCGAAAAACTTTTACCCATTTAAACAGTCGTGGTAGATACCTTGTTTGTTTTAAACATCATAAACAACAATGAATACTTACAGGTTACCCGAACCTCCCGCTGGTCCAAACAAAGTAGGAACAGCATCGTTCTTCAGTGCGCTACGCTGTACATATCCGGCATGAATCGCTGAAAGGTTTGTGAAGCTTTGTTTCGTGAAATGCTGGCAGAGGGTGTGGCCTCTGGGTATTCACATGTCACAGTACCCAGGAAGTAAACAATGGAAGATGAGAAATCTCCAACAAGGCGTTTTGGGGCAGCATAGACTGTGTTAGAATTGTACTCGCTACAGGGTGTACTTTGAGGGTTTTTGACTCTGCAGACCGTTTACATGCATAAACACCTTCATAACACACAAGGGGACGGGTAATAACCGGAAAAGCATAACATGGGCCCTTTAATTAAAAAATTATTATAGATGCCATTGCTCCAACAAAGGTAAAGGAAGTGTCTGGCAAGAAAATATCTCCATGGAGAAAGGCCATGACAGTGAAAACAGAAAAAAGAGAGTGTAGAAAAGCTGAACGTAGGTGGCGAAAAACAAATCTCCAGGTTCATTTTGAAATCTATAAAGAGAGACTTGGCTTTTGGTAGGTTTGTTCTTCCGTAATAAATTATAATTATTATAATAAAATATATTTGTCTAATAATAATTACATACTTTTACTTAAATAAGATATGAATGCAGTACTTTAACTTGTAATGGAGTATTTTCACAGTGTGGTGTTTCATTGATTGATTGAAAAGTGTATTAACAGCTTGTATATTGGGTACAGTACAGTACAGCTCAAAACATACAATTGTTAAGGGGATGCAGACCAGAGAAAGACTTTCGTCTTGTTTACATCAGGGTCCCCCATTTCCAATTCATCATGTCATTTAAGACATATAAGACTATTTGACATACAGATGGCTTATTTACAATTTACATACAGGTGGTTTTTTACATACAGATTGCTTATTTACAATTTTCATTTTAGATTTCGTTCTAATACATCCTAACCGGACATTTAAGACATACCAAGTCTACAGATATACAGTTAGTAACAGAGTCTAAAATGCGAGTATATACATAGATGGGGGGGGAAGCTGTCCATTGAACGACAGGTTGAGATTTGTACCATTACCGGGGCCAGTTTTGCAATGCTCTCCCCCGAAGGTGCTCTTTAAGAGAGGTTTTGAAGGTAAGTATAGTTTTACTTTCCTTTACAGTTGTGGGAAGAGCGTTCCACCTTGATGTGGCATCATTGCGAAACGTGTATTCCCCCTTTTTTGTGCCAAATCTGGGTTTCACATGATTTGTGGAGCTCCCTCTGGTGTTATGATCATGGTATTCCTTGACCTTTGGGAATAATTTTGACATGTACATGGGTACCATAGAGGTGTAGTGGATCTTGTAGACCAGGCCCATTGCAAGTAGCTGTACTCTGTCGTCTACTCTAAGCCATCCTTGGTTGTCAAAGTGGGCAGAGGTGAGGTGGGTTCTAGATGAAAGGTCAAGCAGTAGTCTGACCAGTTTATTTTGCGATGTTTGAAGTTTTATTTTTAGCACCTTGGAGGTGCTATGGTACCATGACGTGCAAGCATAGTCATAGTACCCTTGAATGAGTGCTCCTGCCAGAGTTTTCAGGGTGTTTTTGTTTACCAGAGGAGATCCGGTATAGGAATCTAGTTCTTTGATTGACTTTTTTTATTACATTGGATGCCATTTTGTCACAGGAGAGGTTTGCCTCAAGAATAGATCCTAGGTATGTAATTTCCTTCTTACTTGGGACAATAATGTCGCCCACTGCAACTGAGAAGTCGTCGGATTTGTACTTTTACTTCAGGATCTACTACCTGCAGCAAGTGCTGATAAAGAGTCTAAACGTAAGTGTTATTAATGTGATAATATAGTGTTACTGAAGAGTTTAAAGTGTTAATTAAGAGTAAAGGGAACAGACCTGCTCTGTGTATCCGAAGTTGAGGCTGTAAAACAGCGTCCAGTAGTTTCTGGAGTCTCTCGTTCTCCTCTTTGGAAAGAGACAGCTCCTCCTCGAGCTCTGCTATCGTTTTTTCAAACAGAGCAAATATATCTTCAGCAGCAGCAGTGAGTCGCTGCTTCTTCAACGACAGCAGCATTTGGACTTTACTCATGTTTAATAGATCACCTTTTCCTGCTAACTCCGTCAAACACACCGTTTCTCTCTCCATCAAACTCTCAATGTGACTAGTGTTGCTAACGTGTTTCCAGCTAGCATGCTAAGCTAGCTCCTATAGTCCGAGATAAACGCTCCATAAAAAAGAACACTGAGTCCATTCGGAGGTTTATCCAGGCACACAGATGATGGATCAGTAGTGCTGGAGCTCACACACACTTTTTCAGGAACACAGAGAGAGAGAACCGTAGAGACGAGACTTCACCTCGATCCAGGTTAGAAAGAGCAGAGAACTTCACTTCTTCTTCTTTGGTGTTTATTGGCAGTTGGCAAACCAACTTGTAGGTACATTACTGCCACCAACTGGACTGGAGTGTGGACAAGAGACTATGCAGAACAATAATAAACAAAAAATAACTACTGCACCATTTGCATCTGTGCTACTGCTTCCCCATAGCGAGTTATGTTAATTAAAATCCCCACACCATATTACTTTGTCTTGCAGTGAACCCCCAGCAATCCTCTAATATACTTTGATTTAATTTCCCACATGGCTTATAATAATTTACTATATCTATAGGTCCTCTATCATTCCATACCGTTATAACTATTTCTTCATGATCTGTACTTACATGCATAACTTTGTAACTTAAACCACTCTGTATGAATGAATGTTGCAACTCCTCCCCCTCTGCCAGAGTCCCTATCTCTTCTAACTGCAGTATATCCCTTTACAATCAAATCCAGTTGTGGTTTCAGCCATGTTTGCTGAATATAAAGTACATCAGGTTTCTCTCCCAGGTTGTCAATATATTTGTTGAACTCTTGTCCATTTGCAATTAAACTTCTAGCATTCCACTGCTGTACAATTAACACCATCAGGATGATGAAACACACTCCTCAATGTCAGTTTTGGTACTTTAATGACAAGGATGACGACACCCTGAAACAGAGCAATGCAGCAAGATAAGCTGACAAAGTACTAGATAGATACTAGATAAGATAAGCTGACAAAGTACTACATACATGCATGTCATGACCAATACACATATATGCAATTACATAGAGTAAAGACACACCAAACAATAGTGGAAACAATCTTACATGAATGAGTGGATGAACGTCTCAACTCAAGGCGGAGTGAATGAACAATATTTGAACTAAAATGGCCGCTCGGCACTACCGGGTCAGAGCACGGCATATCCGGACAGCGACAGCAGTGATGCTGCCCTCTAGTGGCCGGCGATAAACTCTTCACAGTCCATGTCTGAGATTGTTGGAAGTTATCATTTAGGAAATCTTTGACATGTTCCCAGTGCAAAGCCCCGAGGGTGGATGAGATCCGCCCGGAAATGCTGAAGGCTCTGGGTGTTGAGGGACTGTCATGGTTGACACGTCTCATCAACGTTGCGTGGAAGTCGGAAACAGTACCGAAGGAGTGGCAGACCGGGGTGGTGGTTCCCTTTTTTAAAAAGGGGGATCAGAGGGTGTGTGCCAATTACAGAGGCATCACACTACTCAGCCTCCCCGGGAAAGTTTACTCTAAGGTACTCGAAAGGAGGGTCAGGCCGATTGTCGAACCTCAGATTGAGGAGGAACAATGCGGATTCCGTCCTGGTCGTGGAACAACGGATCAGCTTTTTACTCTCGCAAGGATCCTGGAGGGGGCCTTGGAGTACGCTTATCCGGTCTACATGTGTTTTGTAGACTTGGAGAAGGCGTATGACCGAGTTCCCAGGGAGTTACTGTGGGAGGTGCTGCGGGAGTATGGGGTGTGGGGGTCTCTACTCAGGGCCATCCAATCTCTGTACTCCCAAAGCGAGAGCTGTGTCCGGGTCCTCGGCAGTAAGTCGGACCCATTTCCGGTGAGGGTTGGCCTCCGCCAGGGCTGCGCTTTGTCACCAATCCTGTTTGTAATATACATGGATCGGATTTCGAGGCGTAGTCATGGGGGAGGGGGTCTGCAGTTTGGTGGACTAAGGATTGCACCACAGCTTTTTGCAGATGATGTGGTTCTAATGGCTTCATCGGTCTGCGACCTTCAGCACTCACTGGATCGGTTCGCAAACGAGTGTGAAGCGGCTGGGATGAGGATCAGCACCTCCAAATCTGTGGCCATGGTTCTCAGCAGGAAACCGATGGACTGTCCACTCCAAGTAGGGAATGAGTCCTTACCCCAAGTGAAGGAGTTCAAGTATCTCAAGGTCTTGTTCTCGAGTGAGGGAACAATGGAGCGTGAGATGGGCCGGAGAATCGGAGCAGCGGGAGCGGTACTGCAGTCGCTTTACCGCACCGTTGTGACGAAAAGGGAGCTGAGCCAGAAGGCAAAGCTCTCTGTCTACCGGGCCATTTTCGTTCCTACCCTCACCTATGGTCATGAAGGATGGGTCATGACCGAAAGAACGAGATCGCGGATACAAGCGGATACAAGCGGATACAAGCGGCCGAGATGGGTTTTCTCCGCAGGGTGGCTGGTGTCTCCCTTAGGGATAAGGTGAGAAGTTCGGTCATCAGGGAGGGACTCGGAGTTGAGCCGCTCCTCCTTCGCGTCGAAAGGAGCCAGTTGAGGTGGTTCGGGCACCTAGTTAGGATGTCACCTGGGCGCCTCCCTAGGGAGGTGTTCCAGGCACGTCCAGCTGGGAAGAGACCAAGGGGTAGACCTAGGACCAGGCGGAGGGATTATATCTCTTCGCTGGCCTGGGAGCGCCTTGGGATCCCCCAGTCAGAGCTGGTTGATGTCGCCAGGGAAAAGAAAGTTTGGGGCTCTCTGCTGGAACTGCTACCCCCGCGACCCGACCACGGATAAGTGGGAGAAGATGGATGGATGGATGGATGTTCCCAGTGCATCCTTTTCATATCAAGGTACTTCTCAGCTGATTTGACAATTATTTAGATTATTTCATTCTGGCTTTTAGTCTGCGCTGAACAGACAACATTGACAAATTGGATAATATATTGATTTCAAACCATGTCAGTGGGCTGCAGTATAATAGATATTTGAAAGTGTAATTCACGAGAATCAGTTGATTGTTACCAATAATGATCCACATTATAATCTGGACATGCGGAAGAGGCTAAATTGCTCACAAAACATTGGAAAAATAATCTCGCTGTCTTCTTTCTGTTCATTACTCTCTCTGTCGTCTACTCATCCCTCATTGTTAAATGTATGCTCCTCCTTACTTGTCGCTCCTGCCAGTGTATTACAAATCATTCAGTAATTTAGTTAATTTCACTTTGCAGATAGATAGATGGGGTTATTAAGCCTACATAGTTTGTATTGAACAGCACATGAACAGAATGTAAATGCAACCCTGTGCTCAGAAGGCTGCACCTGCAGTTCCTCTCTGACTTCCATCACTTTCTCTCTTTCTCTCTGCCTGTCCCATATATCCCTTACCAAAGCTGAGCTTCGACTGATATTATTTTCATTATATCTGTGTTACTGAAAAAATAAAACAATACAATGTTATCTCCTCAACCTTTTACTCAAATTATAATGAAAGAAAAGCATTGAAACTTTCGTTAAAAAGTCTGACATTGGATGAATGAAATTAACGTTAGCTCTCTAGCTATTTTATGTACGCAATTTAAACCAAAGTATATAGCCTATAACTGCAATATAAGTTATTGTGCATGTTGTCGTACGTCCACTGACTAACGTAGTGCGTTCACACAGGATCTGTTGGTCATATGATGTCCTGATGAACAGAAACACAAGCAGCCCACAGGACTCAGATCTCTAGATATCTCAATCACTCCTCCGCTGCTCAGGTGTTGTACCGTAGATTGAAGGCTTGCCGTGGACTGAAGCCGTGTTCACAGGGATGTGCAGGGCAGACATCATTTCAATTATTGGACGTTTCGTCTAGTTTTCTAAGCGGAAGGATACAACTAAATAAAAGTCAGTGTTTTTAGGTTTTATTCCGACAGAATACATGGTGAAAGGATAAGATGTGTTTTAACAGCAGGAGTAGCGATCTGACTACTACTATTACTACTGGGCGGACCAGGGTTAGGTTGTACATTTCCTGATAGCAATAATAGCGCGAAAACCAGAACCAATCTACTTTAAAATCACCAGCAAAGTCTGTGAAAGTGTGATTAGAGCTCAAGAAGCAGTCCTGAAGAACCATCATAGCAGCAGAATCACGATAAGGGCAATTTTCTCAGACCAGTACAGCATCCGTGAGGTTTTTGGGGCAAAACCTCCTCAGCAGAGACAGGCGAAAACAGGCCCCAGCTCGAAACGTGGAGGCGCTCCGGTCTCTCAGCGATGTCCCCGGGGTAAATCCTCCTCAGCACAGCAGCACACGACAGGTGGAGGTAGGCCTCCGCTACAGCAGAAACAGGACAGGTGGAAAGCAGGCCCCAGCCTGAACGTGGAGCCGCTCCGTCTCTCTGCGATGTCTCCAGTGCAAAATCCTCCTCAGCGCAGCAGCACAGTACAGGTGGACGCAGGCCTCCACTACAGCAGTACAAGAGAAGTAGAAGCAGGCCCCAGCCCAAACGTGGAGAACGTTCAGGCTACTCCGCAATGCCCTCGGTGCAAATCCTCCTTTCCACGCCGGCGGAAGAGAGGCAGCTCTGCCCCTAACTTTCCACGCTCTGTGAGGCGGATGAGTAAAAACACTGCCAGGTGAGGCACTCCTGCTCTGATCGACGCTCCTGCTCTGATCGACGCTCCTGCACTGTTACCTCAGCAAGGATCAGAGAAGAACTATGATGTCGATTTTTACAAAAATAGACCATGGAAGAACCCATTGCTTTTTATTTCTTAAGTACATTGGGGCATAGTACATTCATTTGTTTGGCTTATAAAAAAGGTACTCAAAATCTATTTACGTGTTTAAAACCAATGAGAAAAACTCTTATATTCCATGAGTTACTGCATTGAATGATTTCATGAGTTGTGTTGCAGTCTTGAAAGAGACGGCTGAGACGAGGCCGTCCAAAATGACCTCTTTAGGGCAAAACAGAGAACCACAACACACCATGTGTGTGTGTGCGTGTTTAAGCAAAGGTGCAGGGGATATATTATTGAGGGTTTTGTGTGTGTGTGTGTGTGTGTGTGTGTGTGTGTGTGTGTGTGTGTGTGTGTGTGTGTGTGTGTGTGTGTGTGTGTGTGTGTGTGTGTGTGTGTGTGTGTGTGTGTGGGGGGGGGTGAAGAGGAGTGTTTTAAAGAGGAGAACAAAAGGAGAGAAGATGAAATAAACACACAGAGAGGGAAGGGGTTCCTGTCTGTGCTATAATGGAGTCCCTCAGTCCAACTCTATTTGCATTAAATACAAAACACAAATTAAATGCTTAACAAGTCTTTGTGCAAACGTTTAATATCACTCAGACCGATGTGGTTGCCTGGTGTTTCCATGTGTTGGAACTGTGTGGAGCTGCTGGTTTTTGGTCTGCGAGGGATAAAGATATTAAAGGCAATATATAATAATTAAAAGTAATGTAACCTCCACAAAGGAGGTGATGTTTACAGGTTGGTTTGTCTGAATGTTTGCTCCATTGAGGAAAAAAGTTTCAAATTGTAAAAGGGCGTAGCACGGGAAGAAGCATTTCAATTGGGTTTGAATATAACAATTATTTTCCACTTTTGTTTACATTGCAAGAAAGGGCATCCATTATTCTCTCTACTAAATCCATCACATCGATAGCTCAACCGACAAAAGGTCCACAAATGGTTGACTGGCTGATTTCTTTTTTAGTTTACTATGTGCTGCTTGGATTAGTTTCCATTCAAATTGTTTATTTTTAATAGCACACAAAAAGAACATTCAAAAACGACAATACAAATAATAGCAGAATATGAACAGAGTCATGTCAGAAAGTGCAGACA